CTCTACCTTGTCCTGCAGGTGCGTTCTAAATCAGAATGGACACAATGAATGGCAGGGAATTTGTTTCTGGGGCGGCTCCGAATTTCTGTCCATGGTGGTGGTATCATTTAGAAGCAGGTAATGGTGATGGTTGAGCCACATGATGGCCGCAACCAATGTGACTTTATTGCAAATGTGAAAAATGTAGATAACATAGTGAAATGGCCATTGTTTGGCTCCCTGTTTTGGCGATGATTTTTTTTAAGTGGTCACAGGACATCAAGAGACACACACACATATGGACGCACATGTGCGTGTGCGCACTCAGAAACCCGGGAAGCCCCTGCTTCTCACAGGAAGGAGCCAGGAGAGCACCCCAGGAGCTTGTGTGCACGGGAAGTTGTTTTTTCACTGGCCGATCCCTGCACTCAGCCATGGTTTAGAACGTCTGCTCACCAACCGCGTGGACGCAGACCCTCCCCCGCGCCTCGGTTTCTCCTCTGCACAGTGGGGATGTCAGAGAACCCACTTACACAAGGCTGATGTGAGGATTAGCAGAGATGGTGCCACACCCCGCACACAGCACATGCTGAGTAAGCATTTGCTGGCACTCAGGGCCTCTGCCTATTTTTTTTTACAATTACATGTCAGGGCCTCAGGGAACTTTCAGAAACCACGTCGCCCAATTTGTCCTCGCCACCGATGGGGAAACTGAGGGACGGAAGAGCCAAGGGGTTTTGCCAAGGGAAGGACGGAAGAATGCACTGAGGCCTGCCCTTCGCAGCATCTGCCCCGGGCTGTTTCCAGAATGTTCTGAGCGAGCAAGGCAAGAGCAAGAGAAGGCCACCCCACCCGATGGCATAGGGGGCCGGAAGGCTGCGCCCCTCCCCATGCAGAGCCGAAGGCCTGAGGAGCCAGAGCAGAGGGCACTGCCTGGGCCCCACCCTGATTAAGCCCTCCTCCTCCTGGGAGACCCCGTGGATTGAACCCCACCTAGAAAACGCCCTGGCCTCTGTCTCTGGAAGACGTGCAACAAAGGGAGACTCTGTGTGTGTGTGTGTGTGTGTGTGTGTGTATCTGTGAGTGTGTGTGTGCATCTGTGAGTGTGTGCACATTTTCAGGAGACCGTGGGTGTGTGTGATCGTGAGTGAATGCATATGAGTGTGTGATTGTGTGTGCGTGTGTGTTGGAGAAACACTGACTATGAGTTTGAGGGGGTGCATCTGAGACTTGAGTGGTGTGAGCCTCCAAAACGGCTGTTCCCACAGGCACCTGAAGCGCAGTCTCTAGGACCTCTGAAACTTTAGGAGCGCAGCAATGTTTATGTTTCTTTAAAAGAAGAAGGAAAAATGGTATTAAGAAGAAAAACCTGACAAAAGAATAATATATAAATTATTGAGGGTTCATGAGGGAGGGGAAAGCGGGGAGGGAGGGGGAAAATGAGGAGCTGATATCAAGGGCTCAAGTGGAAAGCAAATGTTTTGAGAATGATGATGGCAACACATGTACAAATGTGCTTGACACCATGGATGGATTGTGATCAGAATTGTATGAGCCCCCAATAAAATGACGAGAAGAAGAAGGAAAACCAGAATTGTTCAGTCCAGCCTTCAGTTGTTAAGTGTCAATGTTTGACCTACGTGCATTCGCTCTGGTTCCAAGGTAGTCAGAAAGTAATAGGGTTTATGGTGGGAGAGGCTCCAGGAGGCAGACGCGGCCAGGGCTTGTGCAAGTGACAGTGTGTTCCAGTGTGGCTTTGCGGGTACGTGACATCTCCAGGAGGGTCCACATGGCTTTGTCCTCATAAAAACCAAACACTCACAACGTGCTTGGAATGTTCCAGAAGTTTTCTTGATGTTACTGTTGAGTCAACCCCAGCCGAAGGACACGCTGCCTGGCCCTGCCCTACTACCCTCTTGGCCGTTGGTATCTGTGAGTCCATATGCTGCCTTCCAACTTGAGGGGGGGCCTCATCTTCCAACCCTCTGTCAGGATCCATCCCATTTTCATCAGGGGCCATGTCTTAGGAAGAGATTACCAAGCCTTTCTTTCACTCTCTCTCAAAAAAAAAGAGGAACAATCTCACTGCCATTGAACCCATTCTAACTCGGCAACCCTACAGGACAGGTTGGAACGGCCCCCTGAGGATTTCTGGGACTTCAACTCCTTACAGGAGTAGAAAGCCGCATGTTTCTGCCAAGGAGCTGCTGGCGGCTTCAAACTGCGGTTAGCAGCCCAAGCGTACATAACCCACTAGGAGACCAGGTCTCCTTTCTAGCAACATGCAGGTCACCTGCAGTGGTTACTGATGGGAATTTCCTCTAACCACCCCATAACCAGGTGTTCTTCCCGAGTGTCAAGTTCACCCAGCTACTAGGTTTTAGAGGCCAGCCCTGAAATCCGTACAGGCTGGCTTATTGCCGTTCTGCAGCCACTAGCTGGCTGTGTGACTCTGGGCGAGTCACCGCCCCTCTCTGTGCCTCTGTTTCCTTACCTGCCAAGAGCTCTGACCTCATCGGCCTCTTGTGAGAATTAAGTGTTCTGGAACAATGTGTTCTTGTTGTGCTATGGAGAAGGGCTGTAAGCCTGGTACCTCTGCAGAACATGTTGTCATTGGCCGTGTGTGTGTGTGTGTGTGTGTGTGTGTGTGTGTGTGTGTGTGTAAAACAGTCTCAGCCTCTGGGTGTTGGGAACCTGACTGCTGTAACCATGTGGGGGTAGGTGCTCTGTGCATGTGGCTGTGCAACTGTATGACCCTGTGGGCCAAGTGGGGGGGGTGTCAGTGTCCATTTGTGAGCCCCGTGAGCTGTGAGGGTGTGACAGTGGCTTTGTGGATGGACAAGTCACCCAGGTCGGGGTGTGAAGGCCTCTGGGCAGCCAGGCGAGGTGTTTGGATTTCTGTGACTGTCTCTCATGGAAGAGTGGGAGAGAAGATGAGTTTGGAGGAGACTGGGAAATCGGAGGTCACCCCCAGTCTGACGCTGGGGCCAAGTCACTGCCCACGGCGGGTGGCCAATGTGTCATCCCCCAGTCCCTGTCCCTCCGTCCCAACTGGTGGCAGACAGAGGGAAGTGGGAGAGGAGGATGGTAGGTGGGGTTTTGTCTGGATACTGCAGCCTCCCTGCTGTCCCACACATACCTCCAGCTTTCTATTCCCCAACCTCCCTGGGAACCAGGACTCCCAGGAACGAGGAAGCACTCCCTTTTCCTGAGCTGCCTGAGACGCACTGAGTGACCCTACGCCAAGGTTCTTCCATCTGGGGGCCTATTATGAGATTCAACAATTTAAAAATACTTGGGGTGGGGGTGGAGCTGCGGAAGGAGACTGTGCCTGGCCTGGCTCTGCTTTGGGAGGGAATTGGCAGGGCCAGGGCCAGGACCAGGCACTCTGGGCTCTGTCCTTACCTTTCCAAAGTCGTGTTACTTGTTGTGAAACTTGTATGAAAAGACTTATTAACCCAGGCGCTTACACTCGGTCAGCACTAAGTCCGATGGCATGACTAACAGTCATTACTATTACTGTGAATCCTGGGAGAGCCAGAACCCCAAGGGACTGCCTGCCTCGTTCGTGGTTCGCAAGTTTTGCGCCTTTGACAGCGCGCGCGGTGGGACCACTTTCCCGTCGTTCGCATTTGGTTCGGGACGCGGTTTGTCAGTTTCTGCTCAGATTCCCGCCTAACCCAGGTTCGGCCTTTCGCTGCTGTCCGGGGTCCTTTTTCTTCCCGCTTCACACGGTTGTGCTCCGAATGGATTATAACGACCCAGGAAGGGTCATCTCAACCCCCTCCGGAGGGAAGCGTCAACCGAAAGCTCACCCACGCCCTGCACGGCCCTCGTCCTGGAGTCCTGCAGGGTTAAGAGCACCAACTCTTTGGCCAGCTGGGAAAACTGACGCTCAGAGGCAGCGAGCCTTTCCCAAACTCGCGCAGAGAGTCAGGCAGAAGCTGGGACGAGCCTGAGAACGCCATCTCCACGGTCACCCGCAGGATCGCAGACCTTTCCACCGGTGTCAGGACTCTGTTTCCCCGCCTACCTGACTCCTCTGCGTTAGCCAGCGTCTCTTAGTGGACACTAGCCCTTCCTCTGGAGAAGGGGCGCTAGGCTGGGAGAGAGGCTGGGGGGAAGCCTCCTCCCCGCCCCCACCCCCGCCCCGAGGCCAGGGGGACCCGCCAGCAGGAGGTCTTCCCCGCCCGGGCCAGCGGGCCTTCCCCGGGCTCAGTTAAACGCCTATTAATACCTGCCCCCGGGGCGGCTCGGCACTGCGCAGGCGCGGGCGGGTTCCGCAGGCGCGCAGGGTGCGCGCGCGAGCGAGGGATTCCCTCTGACGTAATTGCTAGGATACCAAACAAACACTCAGTCGGCGCGGTGGAGCTCCTTATATGGCTAATTGCGTCACAGGAACTCTGGGGAGGCGGGGTCGGAATCCCCTCCTGCCGCGCGGGCCGGAACGCAGCCCCCGAGACCCCCGGGGGCGCGAAAACCACTCGAACGGTCAGATCGAGGTGGGGGCAGCCCTCGGGCCCAAGCGCGCGGGGCTGCGTGCAGCGTGGACGGAGATTTGGGGAAGTTTGTGGAGGGAGGCGCGGGTGACGTAAGCAGGGGGGCGGGTCCCGGGCAAATAAATACAGGCTGGCGGCACTGGGTTTCATTCATAAGACTGAGAGCTACGGCCACGATAGGGACACGCGGGACGGGGACTGGGGGCTTGATTGTTGTGGTTCGTTTTCTGCTGCTTCTTGGGAGCCGCGATATCCGGTTTCTTATTCTTTTTTCCGGAGAGAAAGTTTTGGGCAGGGTTCCTCCAGAGAATTCTTCGTTCGGTTTTGGAGCAGCGAATTACTTTCTCGTCTTCTTCATTGGCATCCCGGCCCGCGTGGGACCCGGCGGACGCGTGGAGGAGACTGCACCTGAAGCGGATTCTGTAAAGCGGGACAGCACTTTCGGCCGCTGGGGAAGCGTACCCCCCACCCCCCTGGGTCTCCTGGAGCCTTGACTTTCTTGGGAGACACAGCGACATCCTCTTGGGGGCTGGGCACCGAGGAAGGACTGCACAGAACTTTGCCTTGGTTGGAGCGGGACTGTGCCCCCGCCCCGACCTTTTCTGGATTGCTCTTTTGGGGACGCGCTGGGCTCCCCCGGACCTTTGTTCTTACATCCGGCTATAGCCTTGGCTTCCCGGCGACCCCAGCGTGGTCACAGGGGCCCCCCTGTGCCCAGGGAAATGTTTCAAGCTTTCCCCGGAGACTTCGACTCCGGCTCCCGGTGTAGCTCCTCGCCCTCCGCCGAGTCTCAGTACCTGTCTTCGGTGGACTCCTTCGGCAGTCCACCCGCCGCCGCCGCCTCCCAGGTAAGTTTGGGGGTGCTACATTATGGGATTTATTTTTAAAGTCACAGGTAGTGGGAGACATGTCTCCGCCCTTCGTCCCCCCGCCCCTGCCAAAAATAAAGCGCCTGGATTTGAAAGGGCATAGGTCCGCAGAGCGCTTTGCAAACTGCAGAGAAAAGAAAGATGTTTGCAATGGATTGGGCGCCAGGAGGAGTCAGCTTGAGCAAGGAAGGGAGGATGCGCCGCTCCATGCAACGTGTATGCGCTATTAGAGCTGAGAACTTTTAGGTGCCGGGACTGTCCCCAGCTCAGACCCCTACCCCGAAACTGGCACGGGTAGGCAGGTGGGGAACCCCCTGGGAAGCTTCCAGCAGCCTCCTCCCCTTTCCTCCTCCTTCAGAGTGCCGACTCCCGGCACTCAGGCGCCCTCTACCCCGCCGGGAAGCGGGCCTCGAACCCTCAGCCGCGCTGCATCCGCCTCCTGCGCGGAGACGTAACGGGGTATCCGTGCGTAACGGCTGACGCGCTGGAATCCTCCGTCTGACGCGGGGCACGCACGGCGCGCGGCGCCCCCTTCGTCCGCCCCGCCCCTGACGTCCCGGGCGCGTTCTATTTTGGAACGCCGGGGCCACGTTGCTAAGGGAGGGGGCAGTCCGGCGTTTCGATTGGCTACCGCGGCGCCGACCGTGCCCAATCAGCTTCCCCTTCCTATTTGTAGGGCGCAGTTTCCTTCTCCGGCTCTGTTCCCCGGCCCCGCCGTTCTTCGGCGCTGGGGTCCCTTTTGGGGGGACTCTAGAGGCAGGACGAAGGGGTTCCTGTCACGACAGGAGTGATCCTCCGAGACCGGATGGGTCCGCCAGGATGTTGGGGAGTCCGGGATTCGGTGTCCTCGGCTTTCAGGGGAGGGGGGTGTCTGTGTGTGTGGCGAAATGTCTTTGGGAGACATGATAATGTCACTCACTTCTCCAGACACACCCGCATTCCCTCTGCTTCGGACACTCAGTCCCTCCGCTGTGTCCGAAGCTAGGTCTAGAACCCGGTACCCAAGGAGGGGGAGAACCAACCAGGTGGCCTCCAGAAGCCCCGCCCCTTCAGGGTTCCCAGGACGCTGATTGGCCGACGAGCCAGCCCTTCCCTCACCACGCCCCCCCCGAGAGTAGTTCATCCTGAGCAAATCTAAAATGCCACTTGCAGATGGGGGGAACCGAGCGCAAATCGTAGTTGGGGGCTCTGGACCTACCGACACCGTCCCTCCTTGAAAGTCTCAGAGAGCCCCGGGCTGTCACTTTTCTCCACCTAGCCGTCCTCCCAAGCCTGTCGCTGATCAGTGTCGCTAGAGAGAGTTACTTCAAATGCTGTTCTAAACTAGACCCAGCCCCCAAACACCCTTTGACTAGGACCCCCGTCCCTGCACACCCCTGTCCCTGCACAGCCCTGTCCCTGCACGGGGGTCTCATGGACCGCCTCCCCCAGCCCCCCCCTCCCCAGCTCCAGGGGCTTGTTACGTTTGTGTGGAGGCTTGGTCCCAGGCCTCCCCCTCTCCCTCCCTTTGCCTCTGGGGTGGGGGTGGGGTATAGTGGCTGTGTGACTGTGGCTCCGTCCCGGGAGTTCTGTCACCGGCTGTGTCCAGCCTCCTCCCCACCCCCCACACCTAAGAGTCACCAAGCCTGGGGTGTGAGTCACCACCCGCTGCAACCGTGCAACCTTTCCCCCGAGGAAGGAGGAGGAGGAGGAGGAGAGAGAAGGCAGTTGAGCAGAAATCCTTTCATTAACCACTGCGTCACGGTGTAGTGGAAGGGTGGGTGTTGTGGTTTTCTGCTTGTGACACACACATCCACACCCGCTCCCCCTGTGCTCACTCACGGGGTCGGTGTGTGTCTGTGTGTTGGGCGTGTGTGTGTGTCGGTGTCTCTGTTTGTGTGTCTATGCCTGTGTGTATGTGTCACCCCGTAGGAGTGCGCCGGTCTCGGGGAAATGCCCGGTTCCTTCGTGCCCACGGTCACCGCCATCACGACCAGCCAGGACCTCCAGTGGCTTGTCCAACCCACCCTCATCTCTTCCATGGCCCAGTCCCAGGGGCAGCCACTGGCCTCCCAGCCCCCGGCGGTCGACCCCTATGATATGCCGGGAACCAGCTACTCCGCACCTGGGCTGAGCGGCTACAGCAGTGGTGGAACTAGTGGCAGTGGTGGGCCTTCCACCAGTGGGACCACCGGTGGACCTAGGCCTGCCCGCCCAGCCCGAGCCCGGTCCAGGAGACCCCCAGAGGAGACGGTGAGTTGGGTAGGAGCCATCAGGACTTGGGTTGGGGGGGGGGTCGTAAGCAAGAAACAAAGTGGCAGGAACTCTTGGGATTGGGGTGGGGGACCACTGAGGTTTCAACATGGCAGAAACGATCATTCCGTCTCCAGCAGGCAACATCCAGAGTTTTTTTTTTTTTCTGGCTCCTGGGGGGTTCTACAAGGGAAGGTTGGGAAGGGGTGGGGAGGGGTGCCCTTGTTTGTCCCCAAACCTCACGCCCTCTCTCTCCCCTGCTCAGCTCACACCGGAGGAGGAAGAGAAGCGAAGGGTCCGCAGGGAAAGGAACAAGCTAGCAGCCGCCAAGTGCAGGAACCGTCGAAGGGAGCTGACCGACCGGCTGCAGGCGGTGAGGATGGACTTGGGGGCGAGCAGAGCCCATAGATGCTGCGCAGGATGGGGGGTGGTGGAAATTAGGGGGCTCTCTGTCCCCTTATTCGGGACTGGGAACCACAGGTTGCCCAAGAGAGGCTAAATGCAAGTGGGGCAGACCCTCCCTCAGGCTTGTGTAAGAAGCTCCTGGCCACGCCCTGTCTGAGCCTTTACATCATCTGACTGAGCATGTGTAGGGACCCCCCCCAATAGTGGGGCGCTCTGGGGGTTTCTTCCATTTGGTCTTGGCCACACCGAGCCCTGGGGTCATTTTGGCCTCAGTTTCTCCACATCTTCAACCCCTTATCAACACCCCCTGCCCCCAGGGCCTCTCTCGGACCTTTAACATTCTTTCCCCCCTGTGTCCCTCTATCAGTCCCACCATTTGCCCCCGGCCCTGGGCATGAACCCCAAGGTTCACTCCCTTCTTATCTCGTTCGAGGTTGGCTGTTCTGAGGGCAGGTGGGAGGAGGTACCTTTGAACTCTGGGCAGAAAAGAATCCATTGTCCCCTGAACTTTTGAAGCCCCCTCGTATATCTGAAAGGTGACCCACTAGCCCTCAGAGATATCCAGAGACACCCCCCACACACACACACACACCAGCCTCCCATCTCCTCGATCGATTTCTCAGGAGGATGAGAGACTAGGGTAGCAGGTGGGGGGGGTGGGAGCAGGTGGCAGTTAAAACACACCACCAATCTCGTGTTCCTTCATGAACCCTCTGGTGCCTAGCTGTGCCCGCCTCGGGATGCTTCCAGGTGCACCAGGCCCCTCCCTCCCTAGCCTCCCACTTGGCAGATGGGGAAGCACTCTTGTGCCCCAGTCCCAGTAGCATGCCAGTATGCACCTGAGGGGTGCGAGTGGGGCGGTGGTCTGTCCTCTCAGCCCAGGGCCTGGGTAGCAAGTGAAGCAGAGAAGGTTGGAGGCGGGACCCACCTGCTCCAATCGCTGATCTTTTCCTCCCCTCCTTCCACCCTCTCCTCCTGGACCTCCGGGGACCCTCAGGAGACAGATCAGCTGGAGGAAGAAAAGGCTGAGCTGGAGTCAGAGATCGCCGAGCTGCAAAAGGAGAAAGACCGTCTGGAGTTTGTACTGGTGGCCCACAAACCGGGCTGCAAGATCCCCTTCGAAGAGGGGCCCGGCCCCGGCCCCGGCCCCGGCCCCGGCCCGCTGGCGGAGGTGAGAGATTTGCCAGGGTCCGCAGCCACTAAGGAAGACGGTTTCGGCTGGCTGCTGCCGCCCCCGCCACCACCGCCCCTGCCCTTCCAGACCAGCCAAGACGCAGCCCCCCACCTGACAGCTTCTCTCTTTACACGCAGTGAAGTTCAAGTCCTCGGCGACCCTTTCCCCGTTGTTAACCCTTCGTACACTTCCTCGTTTGTCCTCACCTGCCCGGAAGTCTCTGCGTTCGCCGGCGCCCACCGCCCCAGCGGCAGTGACCAGCCCTCCGACCCCCTGAACTCGCCCTCCCTTCTCGCTCTCTGAACTCTGTAGACATGCGAAACAAGCACAAGGTCGAGGGGGAGAGAGACGGACGAGGAGGAGGAGGAGGAGGAGGAGAGAGGGGAAGGGACCAGTGGGGGGTGGCCTCCCTGCCTCTCCCATCTGACCCTCTGCGGACCACTGCCATCGGACAGGACCTCCTTGGATGGCAGGCTGCCTCTTGTTTCTGTGCCCAACCCCTGCGAAATCGGAGAGCTGGTGACTCTGGGGGCAGGGGGAGGGCCGGGCAGGACCTCCTGGGGGCCTATCGCAGTCACCCAACCTTGGGCTGGGGGAATGGAGAGGGAGGGGCTGCCGCCATTGGGCAGTGCCAGAGGCGGGTGGAGGTGCGGCAGTGGGCGATGGGTGGTGGGATTGGACTGGGCTCCTCTCCAGAAAGGTCCAACAAGGAAATGCCACCCCCCTCCTTGTCACCTTTCACCCCCTCTTCCTTCACAGGGGTGTCCATGTTGCCCCCTTCCCTAAATCTGAGTATTTATGGACCACATCCACGTGGTGGTACCCTCCTTTGTACTGGG